AGCCCCTGTATTGTTGATCGATGTTGTATCCCTAGGGCCCCTCTCGTCTGGCGAAGTGGCGAAGGCTTCTGCCAAAGACTCTGTTTTACATACAGTGATGGGCTGGGTAATGCGGGGTTGGCCAAATAGGGTGGACAGTGGGGATTTTCAATTGTTCTTCAACAAAAAGAATGAGTTGTCTATGTTGGGGGGCTGCTTACTGTGGGGCGACAGGGTGGTTATCCCCTCTTGTTTGAGGCATCGGGTGTTAGAGTTGCTACACGAAGGGCATCCTGGTATAGTTAGAATGAAGAGTCTGGCTGGTCATGTGGTGGCCACATCTCGACCAAGACGTCACTGAGTGGGTGGGGAAATGCAGGCCCTGCCAGGAGTCCCAGCCGGATCCCTCTGTAGTTCCCATTAGAGAGTGGGAAAAGCCTAAGGGACCATGGGGGAGGATTCATCTTGATTTTGCAGGCCCCTTCCATGGCCAGAATTTTCTTATAATTGTAGACGCTTTTTCCAAATGGCTGGAAATAGCTTTGATGCCATCAACCACTTCTGAGGCCGTAATTAAGGTCCTCAGGAAACTATTCACAACCCATGATTTGCCAGACACCCTAGTCTCTGATAACAGGCCCCAATTCACGACAACTCAATTTGAAAGCTACCTGGCCGAGTTAGGAATACGACACGTATTATCTGCTCCGTTCCATCCGGCTTCGAATGGCCTTGCAGAGAGATTCATATGAACGACCAAAGAAGCCCTGTCCCGACTCGATGCGGGGGACTGGCAAGCTAGGATTGATCAATTCTTAGCAATACAACATGCAACCCCATGCACTGCCACAGGGCGCAGCCCAGCTGAGCTCTTAATGGGCCGTAAGCTCAGGTGCATTCTTGATCGCTTACACCCGAACTATTCCACAGATAATTTTAAGGGGGAAGAGGGAGGATTAAGACAATTCCAAATCAGGACCCTGGTATTTACAAAGAATTATGCTAGCGGTCCACTGTGGATTGGGGGAATTATTGTTGGAATTACCGGTCCGAAATCATACACAGTGGACATAGGGCAAGGTAACATTTGGAGAAGGCACATAGATCAATTGCATAAACGTTTGAATTGTGAAGCCTATGAAAACTCCAATATTGTAAAACCTAACTTCCAAAGTTTCCCCGAAACAGCTATCTCAAGCCCGAGTAAACCAGATTACTTATCGGGTAAGCCTGAGTTCCAGCGCTGCCCCAGCGAGTCGACACTCCCAGCCGGGGATGGCCACGCCTCTGGAGAAATCCAGGAGGTTCCATTGGCGGAGCCAGGAGAGACAGGAGGTCCCTCTGACTGGCTCGACGCCTCATCAAGAACTGAACTGCGCAGGTCAACTAGAGTGAAGTCACGCCCTGGTCACCTGCGTGATTTTGTATGTAAATATGTAAATAGATAGGATAAGTGCCTTCTGGGAATGGAGGGGTGTTATGTATGTATCTATTTTGTGCGGGAAATTCAAATGCAGCAATGCTTGTGATTGGTTAACGGGTATTTCAGAACTGTATATAAGGAAGGCTGTTGCCTGTGTTTCTTTGCTGAAGTCTCACCCTGAATTAAAGAGCTGTTGTCACTAGCTTGCTTGTGCCTCTCGTTATTCCCGCGCTACAACACCTTTGCTAAAGTTTTTGAAGCCCACCCCTGCCTTTGTTATACACATTTTCCCATTCACGTGAGTAATATATGAGAAGACCATCCATTTTTATTTGAGCACATCAATCAAAGCATACTGTCATAAAAAAATAACACCGCCCTCCTCCCCTCCCCAAATCCAGGGGTGAAATCCAAATTTTTTCCCTACCGGTTCTCTGGCTAGGTAAGCATGGCAGGGGAAGGATACTGCAAAATCTCTATTCCCACCCTACTCTGGGGCCAGCCAGAGGTGGTATTTGCTGGTTCTCCAAACTACTCAAAATTTCTGCTACCGGTTCTCCAGAACCTGTCAGAACCTGCTGAATTTCACCCCTGCCCAAATCTACTAATGTAAAGGTTTCTATAAGTGATGGGAAACCTATTAGTTCAACATTGGGTCTCCTATTGCAAATATTTCTGGAGAAAGTTGCAAAGAATAAATATAATTCCCCCAGGTGTTTGAATTGATTCATAAACCTGGGGGTGCTACATCATTATCTATAGCCCCTAACTGTCAAGGTTCCCATCCGGGCTCAGCTGTTATTCTTGGTTTTCTGTATACTTAGCCCACTACTCAGGAATTGATTTATTTGGCCAAAACATCTCAGACATGATTTAGCTATATTAGACGTTTTATTGCAGGCAAGAATGAAACTACCGTGTTTTCCCGAAAATAAGACCCTGTCTTATATTTTTTTGAACCCTGAAATAAGTGCTTGGCCTTATTGCTATGCGCTCAAAAGCCCGATTGGGCTTATTATCAGGGGGTGTCTTATTTTGGGGGAAACAGGGTATATACACAAAGACTTGCCCAGTGCAATATGCAGAAATCAAATACTTTAGAATTATACTCTATGGTTTGAATTCTGTTTTCTTCCACCTTTTCTAGTCAATCTTTTTCTAGTCAATAGATACCTGGATGTTCCCTTAATGGCCTTAGGATGCATTTTTTCTAGGTAACTATAATGTTTCTCTCTAGCCTTGAAACTGCTGGTACCTTCTTTGTCAGCAACATTTTTTTTTTATACCTTAGCAACTTTATGGCTGGATGAAGTACAGCTAGATCAAAAGCAACGCTGGTATCAAAAAGACGAGCTACTTTTAGCATGCTGTGAATTTCTAAACCCAAGTAAGGAAGAAGCTTTAAAAACAATTTTGAAGCTACCAGTTATTGCTGGCTTGTTTTTGAATTTTATGTATAATTTGTCTCTCTTTGTACTCCAGTGGAAATGAGGAAAAGACAGAATATTAACTTCTATGGACAAAGAAAAGCAATTAAGAGACCAGCTTCTGCCAATTTCTTATTTTTAATAGCAAGCACATTAAATATTGGTAGTATGAGAAGCTCTTTCTATGAGATTTCATTCTTTAACTGGAAGCTGCTTGTTTTTCATTGCAAGTGTTTTTGATAGTTTAATTATTCTGGTTCTGAGTTCCACCTAGCTATTCCAAGAGTAATCAAAGGTAGTGAGAGCTCAATAAGTTAAGGAAATGATCAGCTAAATATAATTTAAAGTATATGCAATAAGAACATACATAACACCAATTTCAGATTGTCTTCAGTAGTCTCCTCTCCATCAGTGTGCATATCTTCATTTTATCACTATGGTTTGGTTTCACAGGGACCAGTTGCTTATCTTCAGACAATGAGTAAGTAGACTAAGGAAGCTACTTCTCTTACTGTGATTACTATTTGCACATTCACTGCCTCTGATGAGCAAGCAAGCAAGCAGTACCAGATCATTAGATTCTGTCACTGATTTGTCCTTGGACATGAATCTGGGCAGATGCCAAGTCATGAAGATGTCTGGTGCTAGGTTATAAAAGTAGGAGATGAAAAGTAGACCTTTATTTATTCAGAATAGAGCTGGAAGGGACCTTGAAGGTCCTCTAGTTCAGGGGTCACCAACCTTTAGAACCTCAGGGACCACTAAATTCATAATTTTAAATCCCACGGACCACTAATATGATCTGGCTAATGACCAGCCGGGTGGGCATGGCTAGGTGGTCATGGGACTGGGTGGACATGGCCAACTCGATGTCACTCATGTTGAGGGATGCCTTGCCAGCCTCTACTCGCTACACCTTGCCTGCCCACCCGGGCTCCTTAGGGCCCCAACAGGAAGCAGTTGATGGAGCTAAACAGCCACCATGAGAAAGAGTTGGCAAAATAGCTCAGTTCAGATTGGATCTGACTGAGAAGGAGTCTCAGCAGAAGCACCTCACTGAGGACTAGGAGTATAGGCTTTCCAAGCAGAGGGAAGACCTATGGGAGTACAAGTACCTGGAGGTTCAGTAGGCTGAGATGGTCAGCAGTTCCAGGACATGATGCAGTCCCACTTGAACAAGGCTCTCCGGCTCCTTGCCACCAGCCTTCGTCCAAAGCCCCACACCAGGAGGCTGAAGCAGACCCCAAGTCGGAATTTCTGCCCCCCTCTGATCTGCACAAAAGGACCCTGAAGGGGGATACTCTCTGCAGCAACACAAACGTTCATTGCACATATCTGGCCCAGGGGCCATAGTTTGAGGACCCCTGATTTAGTGTAATATAAAAAATGCAAATATTTTTTCTGCGGACCACCAAAATTTTCTCATGGACCACCAGTGGTCCACGGACCACCGGTTGGTGACCGCTGCTCTAGTCCAACCACCTGCTCAAGCAGGAGACCCCATACCATTTCAGACAAGTGGCTGTCCAGTCTCTTCTTAAAAACCTCTAGTGATGAAGCACCCACAACTTTTGAAGGCAAGCTGTTCCACTGGTTAAGTGTTCTCACTGTTAGGCAATTTCTCCTTAACTCCAGATTGTTTCTCTCCTTGATTAGTTTTTATCCACTGTTTCTCGTCCTGCCAACAGGTGCTTTAGAAAATAAGTTGACCCCCTCTTCTTTGTGGCAGCCCCTCAAATACTAGAATAGTGCTTTCATGTCACCCTTAGTCCTTCTTTTCTCAAGACTAGCTTTACCCAAATCCTGAAACTGTCCTTCATACATGTTTTAGTCTCCAGGCCTTTAATCATCTTGGTTGATTAAGATGATTAATCCTTTGGAGGATTTTTTAAATTCTTCTAATTTTAAATTCATATTAAATTCCATATTTAATACGGAAGCTTCCTTTAGAGAGGAACCTTCCATATTAACGTGGAAGACTTCTCTGTAGGCATTGTAACAACAGATGTGGGTCTGCCCCAAATACTTGGACAAGTAAAAATAATCTCTCAGATGCTTAGAAATAGAGACATTCCAGTCTTTTTTTTTTTTGTAAAAATTTGGTTAGAAAAGTAAAACCATGGCAATATAGAAAGGTGGAAAATACTTGGAAAGGAAGATGTTACACTAACCTTCAGTCATTCGCCGATACTTCTCTTTGTACATAAATCCAAACACCAAATAACATCCTCTTCTTGGGAGACCAAGTTCTACAAAAGTCAAAGCAAAGTACAGATCAATTGGCAAAATGGTTCATTAGAAATCGTGTCTGTTTTAAATATATAGTGAGCAGTGGTGGGTTTCAAAATTTTTTATTACCGGTTCTGTGGGTGTGGCTTGGTGGGTGTGGCATGGCTTGGTGGGCATGGCCGGTGAAGAATACTGTAAAATCCCCATTCCCTCCCCACTTCAGGGGAAGGTTACTGCAAAATCCCCACTTCCTCCAGATCAGCTGGGGCTTGGGAGGCAGAGAATAGATGGGGGCGGGGCCAGTCAGAATTTTTACTACCAGTTCTCCGAAGTACTCAAAATTTCCACTACCAGTTCTCCAGAACTGGTCAGAACCTGCTGAAACCCACCTCTGATAGTAATACTCTTCAATATAAGCAACTAGATCCCAGTGTCCTTTGTTTTCAGAATATGAAAAAAAAAAAAAGTAAAAGTCAGATTTCCAAAGGTATGAAGTTATTTTGGGGGGAGATATGTACAACTATTTTCACTGATAGATGAAACAATTAGGAGGACGAATATAGAATAATAGGCACTGCTCAAAATCTACACATATTCTATTTCTAAAGACCCTCTGCATGCCTGCAGAGTTATTTCACACATCAAAACAAACACATTTGTATTTGGGATGGAACCTATCACTGCAATACATCTCTGTCCCCAGACAGTCAAAGATTGTGTCTTGTTATTCTGACTTCAAAATGATTCATTTATTTAGTTTACCAAAGGGTGTGGACAATCCCAGTGGTATCCCCGGTTTTTTAATATTGAATGTGATATCTAAAGTGGAAATTAATTTATATCATCAATTTGAGCAGTGGTTAGCTGTCACTACATCTTGAGATGGAAATATTTATGAATTGGAGACCGTGACTCAAAATGTGAACGACTGAGTTAGCCTTTGGAACTGAAAACTGGGGAATTCCCCGTCTGTTATAAAACTTGGTTTGTTTGCTTTTTAAAGAGCCTTGATACTTTTTTTCTTTTTTATTTTTTTGAGAGAACTAATTATGAAAAATCAGGGCTGATTTCAGTTTTATATTATTTTGTTAAGCCTATCACGCTACCAAATCTCTTCGGTCTTTAAGCAGGTAGCTGGAATTGTGTGGGTATATTATTTTAAGCATGAATTATCCTATTTCTTCCATCTGAAATGGGTATGGATTACTCTAGAAATGTCTAGGTTTTTTATCAGTGCCTATCCAACTCACATTCCCCAACAGAAAGTCCTTCCCCTGCTCCAAAGGTTTGCTTTGGACGCCATGTTTACATCAAAGAGATGCTCAGTAAATCTCTGCCTTCAACAGATACAAGTAATGAGAGCTTTCTAATCCCTTTCACTTAGCAGACTGTGTGATAAAATAGAACATGGAACCTGCGTGGAAATATAAATCTGTCTCCAGGCTCTCTGCATTTTCAAAGCAAAATAGCTGGCCGGTAAAGTGGTTGAACGTCAAGGCCCGGTGAAGTCCATGCCTTTGATCTGTTGCTTTCTTACAGAAGATATCCGGGCTATCAGCAAACAAGCAGAGAAATGGATTCAAGCATAGCTTTTTCTAAAGGAAAGAGCAGACGTATTTGTGGGAGTGTGTGGGTATGTGTATCACCTTACTACAAGAACTGTGAGATCTCTCTCTCGCTCTCTCTCTGTCTGTCTGTCTCTGTCTTTCTCTGTCTGTCTGTCCCTGTCTGTCTTTTTGTGTCTCTCTGTCTCTCTCTATCTCTCTATCTCTATCATCTCTATGTCTGTCTATCTATCTATCTATCTATCTATCTATCTATCTATCTATCTATATCTGGTAGTATGGAAAATCACGGTGGAAAATTTTCAATTAAATCTACTTATAACGAGATGGAAAAAAGAAGGCACTCTGTCCTGCCTGCTTAACAGAAAAATAGAGTTAGAAAGGACCTTAGAGGTCTTCTAATCCAACCCCCTTCTCAGGCATGAAATCCTATACCATTCTGGACAAATGGCTGTCCAAACTCTTCTTGAAAATCTCCAGTGATAGAGCACCCGCATCTTCTGAAGGCAAGCTGTTCCACTGATTAATTGTCAGGAAATTTCTCCTTAGTTCTAGGTTGCTTCTCTCCTTGATTAGTTTCCACCCATTGCTTCTTGTCCTGCCCTCAGGTGCTTTGGAGAATAGACTGACTCCCTCTTCCCTGTAGCAGCCCCTTAGATATTGGAACACTGCTATCATGTCATCCCTGATCCTTCTTTTCATTAGGCTAGACATACTCAATTCCTGCAACTGTTCTTCATATGTTTTAGCTTTTGGCTTGTTGGCTTATTAGGGTCGAAGTTTATTCATTTAATGTAGTAAGGTATGCTAATTTTGCTTGTGATTCTTTTAAAGTTACATCTGTAAAAAGAAAGCCACTGCATCTAAGGACAGGTTGATTGCAATTTCCTTAATCCAACTTCTTAGCCAAGACCAACCTCTTTGTCACTCATCTGTGATGAATTGCAAGGAGCCAATGGAGAGACATGAAAAATTAATTTTTAATTTCTATTAATCAGTGTGGATCAGTATTAATCCAATCCATTTTAACATTCTCACATTAGTAGGTAAGTGATGAATTTTTAACATGTTTTTTTTTTTTTTACGAACAAATGAAAAAGTCTCAATTTTTCTTTTTAAAAAAGCAGTCACCTCTTCACACCACTTAGTTCTGCATGGCATTTAACATACAGCATCGCTGTAAAATGGTAGAAGTAAACAGACTACTGTTTACATAGTTACCCCTATGAAAGCAAAGATAGCAGTGATCTTTACTAAAAGTTAAAAGTTAAAGATTTCCCCAGTCCAGTTGTTTTCAACTCTAGGGGGTGGTGCTCATCTCCATTTCTCAACCAAGGGAGCCAGCGTTGTCTGAAGACACTTCCATGGTCATGTGGCCGGCATGACGATATGCCGAAGTGCATGGAACATTGTTACATTCCCACCTAAGTGGTACCTATTTATCTACTTGCATTTGCATGCTTTCAAACTGCTAGGGGGGCAGGAGCTGGGAGTAGAGTAGAGTAGAGTAGAGTAGAGTAGAGTAGAGTAGAGAAGAATAGAATAGAATAGAATAGAACAGAACAGAACAGAACAGAACAGAACAGAACAGAACAGAACAGAATAACAGAGTTGGAAGGCACCTTGGAGGTCTTCTGGTCCAACCCCCTGCTTAGGCAGGAAACCCTACACCACTTCAGACAAATGGTTATCCAATCTCTTCTTAAAAACTTCTAGTGTTGGAGCATTCACAACTTCTGGAGGCAAGTGATCATGTAGAGATCATTGTTCTAACTGTGAGGAAATTTCTCCTTAGTTCTAGGTTGGTTCTCTCCTTGATTAGTTTTCATCCATTGCTTCTTGTCCTGCCCTCAGATGCTTTGGAGAATAGCTTGACTCCCTCTTCTTTGTGGCAGCCCCTGAGATATCGGAACACTGCTATTATGGCACCCCAGTCCTTCTTTTCATTAAACTAGACCTACCCAGTTCCAGCAACCGTTTTTCATATGTTTTAGTCTCCAGTCCCCTAATCATCTTTGTTGCTCTTCTCTGCACTCTTTCCAGAGTCTCATCACCTTTTTTACATCATGGCATCCACAACTGGATGCAGTATTCCAAGTATGGCCTTACCAAGGCATTATAAAGTGGTATTAACACTTCACGTGATCTTGATTCTATCCCTCTGTTTATTCAGCCTAGAACTGTGTTGGCATTTTTGGCAGCTGCAGCACACAGCTGGCTCATATTTAAGTGATTGTCCACTAGGACTCCAACATCCCTCTCAGTTATTACTATTGAACAAGGTAACACATATACTGTACCTGTGCATTTTGTTTTTCTTGCCTAAATGTAGAACTTTACTTTGTTCACCGAATTTGATTTTGTGAAAAAAGTAAGATTCTACATTTAGGCAAGAAAAACAAAATGCACAGGTACAGTATAGGTGGTACCTTGTTCAATAGTAGTAACTGCAAGAGGGACCTTGGAGTCCTAGTGGACAATCACTTAAAGATGAGCCAGCAATGTGCTGCAGCTGCCAAAAAAGCCAACACAGTTCTAGGCTGCATTAAAAGAGGGATAGAATCAAGATCACGTGAAGTGTTAATGCCACTTTATAATGCCTTGATTAGGATCAGGCGCTCACTCCATTGCACAGCTCTCGGGTCTCGAACCCAGGCTGTGAGTTTTCAGCTGATAAAGCTCAGCGTCTTTAATCACTGAGCCATCGCACACCCACACCAATCCTTACTAAGCATTTAATAAACTACTAAGGTATCAAAATGTTATTTAAAAAAATACTAAATTAGCCTAACCTTATCAACCACACTAAATAATGACTTTGGAAATGAACAAATCAACCCCCTTTCACTTTAATTGTGAATTGTAATTGCATAATTATTATCATCTTGTTTTGCACAGTCCTGTTTACTGCCGCTGACTATGCTGGTAATTATTAAATTACAAAAAGATCTATATCCCAAAAAAAGAGTCCCAGCATGTCATTCAAAAAGATACAAACAAAGTAGAATGCCTAGCCTGCATCAACTTCATGTTGAAACCAATGGGTTGGTGAATTTTGCAAATACCGTGAAGTGTTGAAAGTGCTTAACCTAGAAACACAGATAAGAGCCACTTGGCCTTATATTTGTTTACATTATATTGTTTACATTAATTAGGATAAATGACGGGGCACCAAAGAGTTTTTCCCTTAACTATCACACTTTTTCACGTTCAATTTTATCTTTCGGTGCTGAGTCTTAATATCTTGTCATTTAACAAATGAAAAAGGTCAAGAGTCACCACTCCTGGTCTGTGTTTAGGATTACAGCAGTCCTCAATTTACGACCACAGTTGAGCCCCAAATTTATGTTGCTAAGTGAGACAGTTGTTAAGTGAATTTTGCTCCATTTTACCACCTTTCTTGCCACAGTCGATAAGTGGATCATTGGTAACACAATTGTTAAATTAATCCGGCT